CATCAGCTCAGTCTCTGTCAGTCGGCTCCCTGGTGGGGTCAGCCATATCTCCACCGTGGCTCCTTCCGCCGTCGACTCCACCGTGGGCCGCTATCCTGACTGGCCTCTGGATTCCCATCTGGCTCCTCCTGCTCTGGGCTCCTCCCTGGCTCCTCCCTCCATCCACTCCGCCCTGGCACGATGAACTATACTCCCTTTCCATTGCCTGCCCCACGCCCACCTCCGGAACCCCCACCCTCCCTCCTCTGTTGGACTTTTGTCGGCACGAGGACGTGCCGTTCCGGGAGGGGGCGAACTGTTATGGTTATGATCTGTTTTGGTTTGGTTTTCTGTGTTTCCTTTCTCCTGCCTTGTTTGTTTCCATGGTTTTTGATGAATTAGCTCCACACCTGTTTCTGTTTCTCCCTGATTACGTTCCCAGTATTTAAAACCTGTGTTCTCCATTATTCCTTTGTCTGCTATTGAGTTGATTCCCCTATGTGCTACGTGAGTGTCTGCCTGCCCTGTATTTCCCCGAAGCAAAGATTAAAAGACTGTATTTTGAGTTTACACCTGTGTCTCCTCGTCCCACCTCCGTAGCCATTACATAACATCAAGTAAGAATGCTTTCTTTTATCAAATGTTCAAACTCATAGTAGTACCTTTTAAAAGGTTCTAGTTTGTTTGAACAGTAGAAAGAATAAATACAGTAGTTAAAATAAAAAATCAAATTGAAACACATTATATTTATGTTTATTGTTTATTGTTTCTGTTTATCTGTCATGTTTGGTTGAAATTTGTAGCTCACCTCTTTGTGGAAAAGGAGAGACACTGAGGTTGTGATTTCTGTGATCCCTACACAAACCAAAGGAACATCAATTGTCATTTGTCACAGTGAGCTGCGTACACTTCGGCCACACCAGTGGCTAACTGGCAAGGTACAGCATACATTTCTTTCTCGTTAAAATGTAGTTATATAAGCTTAAGTTACTTTTCAGAACTATAAACCTGTAGTTAAAAATGATAAAAAATACGTCTATACTATACAATAAAGGTCCATCTTTAATACATAACTGTACAGAATGTAGTGCAGGAATAATGAGTAGATCTACATTAACACTCCAGCTACCACGATTAACTAATATGGAAACAACAAATATGAAAGTAAAATTCCATGTAGTACTGCTTATTAGGTAACCAAAAATTACAGAATGAGATTAGACTCATTAAGAACTACAAATTAACAATGACAAATAATAAAGAACTACTAAATAATTACATACTCGTCACAACAATAATATGTCTGAGACATGAGCAGGTGTCTTTTTAACTCTTTACATGGTCATAAAATGCATTGGTAAATAATCAGATGTTACCTAGTTACTTTTAAGGAACTGCTAATGATTTGGACCATTACTTTGAAGTGAAAAACAATGTTTACTGCTAGTAGTTCCATGCAGATTGACTACATAACTCCTGATTAAGTAGCAATGCTTTTTGTGGCCATATTGACAGTAAAAATATAATGCACTATGTCTCAGAAATGTTAATGTTGTGATTCTTAAGTACTTGGCAATTTGTGTAATCTCCTGTATCAATTATTGATTACCTAACAAGGAACTACTTCAATCCTAAATGGAATGGAACTTTCTGGTTAGTTAATCTTGTTTCCTTAGTAGTTCATAGTGTTAGTTGAAGTGTTAATGTGGAATGAGATAGAAAAGTTTGTAGACAAACTTTAACTTGGCTTGAGAAAGCCATAGCATGTAACTTTTAAGTATTTCTTAAGCTTGAAGTTTGAAGTCCTTTAAAAGTCTAAGTTGTTTTAAAGCTTGCCTTGATGGTTTGAGGCTTAAAGGCATAAAGGCAATAGACGGACAGACGGACGGACGGACGGACGGACGGACAGATAGATAGATTTCTCAAGCCAACTTAATAATAAAAACCTTAAATAGAATAGCAGAAAGTTGGTTTTCTCAAGCCAATGTAATTACTGATTTGTCCTTACTTCCTGTACAGTTAACTAAATGGACCATTTGTGTTGCCATAAACATATGTGACCCTGAAGCACAAAACCAGTCTTAAGTCGCTGGGGTATATTTATAGCAATAGCCAAAAATACATTGTGTGGGTCAAAATTGTTGATTTTTCTTTTATGCCAAAAATCATTAGGACATTAAGTAAAGATCATGTTCCATGAAGATATTTTGAAATGTTCCTACTGTAAATATATCCCTCAAATTCCAGACTTTCAAATAGTTGTATCTCGGCCAAATATTGTCCAATCCTAACAAACCACATACCAACGGAAAGCTTATTTATTCAGCAGATGATGTGTAAATCTCAGTTTCGAAAAATTGACCCTTGTGACTGCTTTTGTGGTCCAGGGTCACATATGGTTAAATACTCTGTGGTTCTTTATAGCCTATGTGTTTCTGTGTGTATACATTGCAATACTAAAATGGTTAAATTGAAACACAATGATTCATTTTGAGATAAAAGTACAAATTGCTGCAATCTTGCTGATGTTACATGGAAACTAGCCTTTTTTTATATTGTAAATAATAAGAAAAATATATTTTCTTGATAGAACAATAATGTGATCAAGCGTTTCTGAATGTTGTACTCTTAATGTACAACACAAATAAAAAAAAAAAAATGCAGCAATTGTTTTCCATAGATAGTTGAAGCCCTGTTTCATATTGGGGATGGGGAATTCCATTTACATTCTTGATCACTACACAGCAGGTGTGATTCTGTTTGGGGAAAGACCTCAGCTTGCCCGGCAAAGTTTGTCAAAGATATTTACAGTGGATGGACTATAGTATGGATATGCAATTTTGTGTATATGTGTTTCCATAGACCAATATTATATATCTTAAGTATATAAGAAAAAATCAGTTTGCAAAACTACATGCAGAATTATGGTTAACTTCATAATACTTTTAAAAGATAAATGTACTTAATAATGGTTTGCAAAGCTGATATAATGTATGTGTTCTTTGATAGATTCACTTTGACAATTACCAGGGAATTGTTTCTTTTGTGAACACTGACAATGTCCATTGGAAGTTTCTGGTGAGTAGCTGAATAACTTCACTATGTCATTACCAAGTCTGGATCTACTCAGTATTAGTAGCAGTTGTTTCACCGTATCATTTTCAGTGCATAAATGCGGTCAACCACACTGTGTACCTGGTAGGTCCTTCAAAAAGTTCCACAGAGGAAGATGACTCAATTCATGCTGCCAAAAGATTCAGGTATTCTTTGTGTAACTCATTCTCACATCCTTAAGCCACATTCTATGGCTACGTGCATGCAGCTGCACAGAGTTTTCTATATTTATTTACCTCCCCACTAACAAAGGGCCCACCTCTATCCATTTCAGCAGATTTTTGTTTTTAATGACTTTGTCTACTGTGATTAGACATTTAAAGGTGTTGCTTTGGGGTGCATAACTGTCACAGCATAGAATGTGTACAAGGTGTTGACATTGGTGGGACATTACTCATCATCTTGAGATACAACTTAGATACAACTTTATTTAAAGGTGTTGCTTTGGGGTGCATAACTGTCACAGCATAGAATGTGTACAAGGTGTTGACATTGGTGGGACATTACTCATCATCTTGAGATACAACTTTATTTTCATTAAACATTACAAGTACTCAGCAACAAAATGAAATTTAGCATCTATACAATTTAAAATAGCGTTGTGCTACTATTATAATAATATATAAATACTATTTATATAATATATAAATCTACACTAAATAAATAACTGAACAAGTAAATACAGTATATACAGCAGGTGAAAAAAAGACGGACGGACGGATAGACAGATAGATAGATAGATAGATTTCTCAAGCCAACTTAATAATAAAAACCTTAAATAGAATGGCAGTAAGTTGGTTTTCTCAAGCCAATGTAATTACTGATTTGTCCTATATTACTTCCTGTACAGTTAATTAAAATTGACCATTTGTGTTGGTCATAAACATATGGTTAAATAGTCTGTGGTTCTTTATAGCCTTTGTGTTTATGTGTGAAAAATGAATTGGATTCATAACCAATGGATAGATTTCTGTTAAAACATACGTTCCTACCGGTGTAATGCAGATTTCAGTAAGTTTATGGTTGACTGGAAGAAGCTGGCCATGAGCTGGCATTCAGCTGAAGTATTGGCATTCAGCTCAACAATAACCGTTTGAACAGGTTATTGTTGTGAAGACAAGACTTGCTTATGATCTTGGGAGTTCTGACATCTATAACAAACATCGACTGTAGTGAGGATGTTCAGTTGCTGGGGATACTAAAGATACATTTTAATAGATTTGCATTCATCACAGGGGTACACCAAAGAACCCAATAGGCATGCATACACTGAAGTATTTAAAAGATGTCAATATGTCATATTGCTATTTTTCCCATATCACAAGTAATTACTGACCAGGAGGCCTAAAGGTTAAATTAATCAAATCACAACTGATGGAAATATTGTTTAGACTTTGTATGACTTTAAAGTAATACAATTATTTACATTGTTTACATTCTGGAAACTAAGAGTAAAAGAAGACAATTTATAATAATTAAGTAATAAGAGTTATACATTTGGAATAGACTAGTAATTTGATTTCAGATTTCATGTACTTTGTTCCTAATTAATACATATTCAAGTTATACATCACACCCAGTGAGTACCTACAAATGAGGAGTACGTACCATGGAAAAACGGAGTGGGTGGATATACAGTGGAAAGGAGGAGTTATGACATGTCCAGCAGGATGGCAGTAGCTGTGGGGTCATTGTCGTCTTGGTATGTGAAGTGTACTGTAATACCTCTCTCTCTGTTATCTTCTTTATATTAAGTAAATGTTTCTGTTCCAATGTTTTATAGGACTTGACTGCACAAAATGACAAAATAAAAAATATTTGGGGAATTCTAGTTAGGAAAGCTGCCATATGCTGGAGTCTGACACAGTACATGATGGTCTTATATCATTGATTTTTAGATGGCAAGGGCATAATGAAGGCATTTCCAGCTGTTCCCATTTTACATTTTGGAACTTCCAGAAAGGAAATGGCCAATGAACGGAAAATGATGGCTCTGCAGATACTCAAAGCATCAGGTTTGTAAAGCAAATTCTTGTCTGCTGTCTGCTGGAATATTTAATAAAATGCAGCTTTTCAGATCTGACTCGAGTCAAAATTCAAATACACAAAGCAGAAGTCAAGTAAAACAGTATTAGAAAAAAATATAGGCACCTATTGTATCCGTTGGCATTATTATTAGGGGCCAAGCACTGAAGGTGCGTAGGCACCTATTGTATCCGTTGGCGTTCTTATTAGGGAACAAGCACCGACGGTGCGTAGGCACCTGTTGTATCTGTTGGCGTTACTATTAGGGGCCAATCACCGAAGTTGCATAGGCGCCTAATGTATCCGTTGACGTTCTTATTCTTCTTCGTCCATTTCTTCCGCTCTTGAGTCTATAGCAGCCCATAGAGCCGCTTGCGGGAAAGTTGTGAAATTTGGCAGACTGATAGAGGACAGTCTCAACATTAACCAAAGCAAATTTGGAGTCTCTAATTCAAACTCTGTAGCGCCACCACTTGTCCAAATTTTGCCACAGAAGGAAAATCCTTGGCTCATGCCGAGTCGAATGAACATCAAAATTAAAAAATCGTAAGGTTTAGTTTTTTCGCTAATTTCTATTGTTCGAAAAACCTACTTTTTCGAACTCGTCCTAGACGGTTTGTCTGATTTTCACCAAAATAGGCTCAGATCATCTTCAGACCATGCTGGCAAAAATGAATGGAATTCAAGTTGATTTGTCCAACAGTTCTCGAATAACACGCGAACGAATTCTACGAAAAGCATGCAAAAATGGATGTGAGGCTATATCTCCGCAACGGTTTGGCGTATTGAGACCAAACTTGGTGTGTGTTATAACAAGCATGACCTGAGACTACCTGCAGTGTTTAGGCACTGTGCCACCTAGTGGGCAGTAGATATGAAAAATGCATATTTTTGCTTATAACTTCTGAATGGTTTGTCCAAAAATCACAAAACCTCTTTAGATTCGGTGTATCATGCCTAGTCGAATGATACCCAATGTTCCCATGTCAGCCATTTTAGGCGTCGGCCATTTTGAATTTTGTCTTAAAATGCTATATTTTATGAACGCATTGACGTATCATTACGAAACTTGGTATGCTTCTTCAGCACCATGGCCTGTTGGTACTCAAAAAGTTTGCGGGCAATTTCGAAAAAGGCTAATAACTTTTGCTTACATTAGCCTATTGTAATGAGACTGATGTTGATAGATTCCTTGGATCATGCTGAGAACATTGATACCAATTATACCATAATTGGCTGAACTTCCTGTTCGCCATTTTGATTTATTTTGAAAACCTACTTTTTCGAACTTGTGCTTGGCCCCTAATTAATTCAATGTTACTGCTTAATTACCTCATATGTATTGAATTAGTTAATGGTAGGTTAATAACTTATTAATGATAAGTAGTTCTCCATTTAGATTAGGTCGAGTAAAATCCGAAAATGTCATGAACTAAGTGCCTAAAACCAGCCTTTATTGGACCTTCATTTCACTGTTCATTATAAGGTTTACAACATTGAATTGTACATTTTGCAAAACACTTAATTAATGACATTTTCCAATATTCCTTGATCTAATCTAAATTAAAAACCATGTATGGTTAATGAGTTGTTAAAGCATTATGTAACTATTATAAATTAGGTAATTAAACAATAAGAAATTGTGGTAACAATTTACAATAAGGTTACATTTGCTAATGTTAGTTAATGTATTAATGTGTTAACTACAGTGATGAAACAATGACCAAAACAGTTATTACAGTAATTATTAATCTTTGTTAATGTTATTTTCATTGTCAGTCCATGTAAATTTACAGTGCATTAACTAATGTTAACAAGCACACATTTGTATTGTAATTATGCATTAGTAAATGTTGAAATGAACATAGGTTAACTAATTTAGTTAACATGAACTAAGAATGAACAATACTATTACATCATTTATCAATCGTAGTTAGTGTTAAGTAATGGAACCTTATTATAAAGTGTTACTAACAGTGTTGATTACAGTGACAGTGACTCATGAAATCAGTGTTTGTATGAAGTCGATTAATGTATTAACTGCAGTTTGTTAACTATTAGTTTACAATAATCAAATCGTTTGTAAATGATTTTTTTACTTTACAATATACAGTGCCAGTCCAAAGATGGTAAACATCACTATTTTAATGGTTTTTGAAAGAAAACTCTCATGCTTACCAAGTCTGTTAAGCAGCTTGCCAGTTAGATATGGTTATAATAAGAATGTCACTTTTCAGCAAAGAGAGAGATCACGCCAGTTAAGAATTGTCTTATAAGGGTCAACAGTCATACGAAGGTTTTACACTATTACTTTAAAGCTGCCACAAAATGCATGGATGTCACAGTATTATCGCATGCTAATAAGTTCAAGGGGAAAAAAACTGTAGTTTATCAATACAGTATATTATAATCTTGCATTACCTACATACATCTGAAAGGTCTCTCTACAATCAAGGGTAATCCATATTAACAAAACTTTTACGTTAACAACTATGGAAAATAACAACTACAGATGCCAGATGACTATGCGGAGGCCTGAATAAATGAAAGT